CCCCAAAACCCCAAAACCCCAAAACCCCATTTCTCAATTATGTTTTTATTTGAGTGGTAAAGTTAATGAACAATAAATAGATTGCTATAGTTTCATAATTTTTTGGCTGAGTATTTATCTGTCTTAAGGTAGGGATTATTTGACTAGCTGTTCATCTTCAATCTCATTCTATCCTCTAGTAAATTTCTTTCCTTAACAGTAGAAGCTCTTTATAATTAAGCTCTATTATTGTCTTTTTAATGATTTGGAGTTGATAAAACATCGTCTTGATTGACTATAATATATTATAATCTTAAAAAATACCTTTGAACAGAGTCTACTCTGATTTTGCTTAGAAATTTAAATTTGATCTACTCTCATCACTTAACAGAATATCGTTATTAGTTTATCTTAGCTCATTTTAACTTTAGCCTCGGGACATATGACTTTGATTCGCATAATAGTATTAGATCCCTGGCTGTAGTCTCACCTTAATTTTGTAATCAGCTTCATACCAAGTTTTCAAAAATGTCCAAATATCGATACTCACTATGATAAATCCATCATCAAGAATGTCTTGAAAGTTTTAAGTCAGTAAATCACTAAAATTTATATTACTTTATATCTTTTTAATTTACATATTCTTGATAGATTCAGGTCTCTTCCCCTTGACTAAATCATTAAAGTTCTTAATTGGTATCTATAAAAATATTGATCTAGGCTTATTTAAAATACCTTAGATTTTGGAACAACCCCAGTTTAATAAACCTTCTGAGAGTCATTTAAGAATATATTATCATTGTAGTTAGTGTACTTGCACCAATCTCTCCACCAATTAGAATTTATTACGTATAGATTTTCATACTATCTTTAGTTAACCATGAACTATTAAGAAAGTTCCTAAATTATCTCCTTTTATATTGTAGTATTCAGATTTTTGTTGAAAAAATCAGTTAGGTGATACTATTATTAGTACTTATTTAGAATTCTCATGATAACATTCATGTCTTAGAGACGTCTTAACTCTTATGAGTAGATGAACTCAACAGATCTTTGAAGAGCTGTGGAACAGCAATAATTCTAACCATTCACACTTCCGCTTATATTGTTATTACTAACATTGTTGATATTTAGTTTGGATTTACTTATAGAGCAATTACAAAAGCTTTGACTCTTAATACTTCCTATTGAGTCAATTTATTGTTGTTAGAATGAATCCTTGGTGAATGTTTACCTCTTCAACTTGGATTCTAATTTTTTAATTGAAACAATATCAAATGGCTTTTAATCACCAACTCTTACTCCTGAAAAAAATTAGTTTTTATCATCGAATACGTCATGTGTAGCATGTATACCACTTCTTTTTAAATTACTAAATCCCATCTGAGACCTTGATCTTTAATTAGATTTGCTAACAATCTAAGTAGTAAATACATTTTGGTTATTAAACAGAGATTTTATTATTTACTGATTTCTCTCTTCCAAGTCCTTTTTATTCATTCTAGCTTTAGATTTATCAGCCGATTAGAATGCCTTTTTATTAGCAATACTATCTACAGCTAAGTTCATGTTGGAATTAGATTGCATATATTGAAAAATTTGCTTGTTTTAAATTGAATTATGAGTTTAGATTGATGCAAGATTTTTAGTTGAAAAATTACCGATGTTATTTTCAGTATAACCTTACAGGGTAGTCTTATCAATGCCAGAATCAAAATTATGGGAGTGATCATGATACTTTAAAGTTGCTTAATCATAGAAATTAGACTATGCACCTTGATGACTATTGATGGATTAATAATTATCTACTTCTTCATTCGTGTTTGGACTAAATATTTGAGAGTCATCATCAACAACTTAATACTCATTATTATCCTTTACATAATAAATCAGCTTTGGATCTTGCACCCCAGTGGCTTATTCATTTGCCTCTTGATCATCGGACTAATTAGATAACTGATTTCTATTTCTTTGGGTAGGGGAGCTGCCTAAACTATCTTATGAGATGAAATCAGCTGAATGATTATTTTTTTTCTTTTGGATCTCTATTGATTACTTTTAAATTTGCATCTGATTCATGAATGAACCATCTTCCATAAAGTTTCCTGTTTATTTTGAACTAGTCATAGATTTTTTACTATTAATGGATTTCTGAATATGTCCTTTGCTGCCTGAATCTTAGAATTCTTATTAAATACTTTAATCTGCTTATGAAAAAGTATGCCTTTCTTCAATATTTTAGATGAGATTATGCTATTATTCCATTAGTTTACTCTGATTTTCTTTCAAATACTATGAAATATTATTACTGTTCCCTGATACATAGTTTGCTAGATTAAAGGTATTGAAGTGCTGTTATTACTGCTTATTAGCAGGGTATGATTAGTTTTATAGATCGATTATTAGCATTTACTTGCTGTTGTTCTAATCTCTAGTATTTATAAGATTCTAATCAATTTACTTCTATATCACTTCTCTCTCAGTTTCATTTTTAGCATCAAAATATTGATTATCACTTGCAGATCCTCCATCAACATGATGATCTGCACCATCAATCTTTAAGTTTTAAGTTTGAGAGTATTGCTATGATGAATCCTCTTTTATGGTGCCTTAAAGTTAACTAATTTAGCTCTGAATTGTTTATGATAGATCAAATGGCACTCTTTGAACAATATCAGGTTCAGATATATTTCTTAGTCTATCCTAATCATAATTCGAAGTTTCATTATGTTTATACATTTCTTCTTAGCTGTAATAATACAAGTTTTCAGTTTCATTCTTCTCCTCTTACTCATCAGTTTCTTCCAACTCAGATTACTTATTTTTGGGATTAAGATTTCTTAAAATTTTATTAAGTTACTTATTTCTAATCTACATTGAATCCTAAATACTATCATCTTTCAAGTCAATTTTATTGAAAACATTTAGTCCATTTTTTTATAACAGATTAAGAAGATACTAAATTGTTTCTTGCTGATTTATATGCTTCATTTCAAGATCATTTATTTTCTCATCAGTATGCTATTTGAACAGTCTCAATTCATCTCTAAGCTCTGTGTTGAGTTTTATTAAGTAAAGAGCCATTTAGTTCTCACTTGGATCAAAGCCTATCACATTTTATTGCATAGGCTATTTTTAGTAGATTTAATCATAATTTTAAGAGATCAAAGATTATTAACTCTTCGAGCTATCTTTCATAATAATAGAAACCAGTGACTAAGATCTAGATTTCTATGCTCCATTATTATTTGTTCCTGCTATAAGAGAGTCATTATAGGGATTTCTTTCCTGCTATTGATTGTTTGTACCTTTAACTCTAATACCAGTTTTCTGTTTTACTCTTCCATGATGCTATTATTGATATTACACATCATCTTGCTAGATTAAACCGCTATTTTCTTATATCTATTGAAGATGCTATTCCCGGCCTTTAGTGGAATATCCTGAAGGAATAACTTGAAGTAAACTTTGATTTTCTCTGATGAATGTATGTATTGACTCATCGTTATTGTTTTAATGTGAAGAATTTAAAGGCATCATAATAGCTGAAAGATTAGCTGACTCAATATTTTAATAATTTTTCTGTTACTACTAATGATTGTCATAAATGACTTAATTCTACTATTTTAATGCCTTTTTAGATTGTTCATCTTTGATTAAAGTCAACTGCTTTTAGTTTTTTGGATTATTTAGGTTTAATTTAACTGATGGAGTATTTTAAAGCAATTTAGTGTGAATATGCTGATTACTTTCATGAGACTTATTCACAAGGTCAGATCTCTATCTATCAGTGATAGAATTAGATTCTTTTAATATTTGCTTCATTAATAAATTTTAATTTAATATATCAGTAAAATTACACTACTTATTGCATCCAGGGGTTTTGGGGTTTTGGGGTTTTGGGG